TGTTTACCTTCAAGGCTTTAAGACCCCAGACGCTATATCTTTTGATAGCCGGGCACCATCAGCTTTCTTCACCACATTTGCTTATGCACACATTTTGTCTTTAGCCAGCGGTTTTCAACCTGTGGGTCGCAACCCCTTTGGGGCTACAGGGGTCACCTAAGTCCATTGGAAAACATATTTCTGATGGTCTTAGGAACCAAGACACAGCTCCTCTATCCATCTCCAGGCGGGTTTGCCCACATGCAGATACACCCACATACGAGTACCCAGCGTGACGACTGTTACCCATGCAACACCATGCTTCAAGACAAAATTTCATTTATTTGTAATTAGCAATAAATATTTCACAATATATAATTGCATATTGTTTTTGTGATTAATCATATGCTTTAATTATGTTTAATTTGTAACAATGAAAATACATCCTGCATATCAGATATTTACATTATAATTCATAACAGTAGCAAAATTACAGTTATGAAGTAGCAACAAAAATAATTTTATGGTTGGGGTCACCACAATATGAGGAACTGTATTAAAGGGTCACGGCATTAGGAAGGTTGAGAACCACTGTCTTTAGCGATTGTGTTGGGGGGTGAGCATCACAGAATGCTACGTTATTAGGACGAAGTGTTCTTGCATTGAGAGAGTACTTGAGTAGGAGCCCAATGTCCATTTGCTACCTTGATACTTAACATATAAATATATGTACATAGATCTATTTCCCTATCATTATATATAAATATATTTACATATGTACATGCCTATAGTTAGACCTCTATACATGTATGTCCTTTGCCTCCTAGTTCTTTCTCTATTTAATGGTTGAATATTCTAATGCATGCTGCCTCACTATTGTTCACCTTATAGACCTGTCTATAAGAATTGTATGAGCCCCTAATCAAACGATTAAAAAAAAAGAATAGCACCATGTCTCATCATCAGTAATGACCTGGGGGAAAAAAGGCTGGGTCACTTTGCAGCTGTTCTTTCAAAGCATTACACGTTTCCATCAATGCTCTTCTTCCTGCTCAGTCAGAGCCCAAGGCACAAACTTCGCAGCAACCCTTTCATTCCCAAATCTTGTGTTGAAATTCACCGAACCAAGCTCCAAGATAGTCCAGATAACTCCCCCATTTCTTCATCGGTCCATCTTCGGTCTTCCAGCACAAGTGTATGGATTTTGTTGATATTTTCGTCCATTTGGGAAG